CCTTGGCCCCTCCCCCACATGCAGGGTGGGTGGGTGACACACACCCCCATTCCTTGATGAGCATGGGAAAGGTGTGACTATAGCTTGCCAACATAGTGGTTGGAGGACACTTCTAGTTAACACCACTCCTTCCTCCAGCTTTACATTCTTTCTGCCAATCTCTTCTGCAAAAGTCCCTGAGCCTTGGATGGGGTGATAGGTGTGGGATGATTTTCCTCCTTTTGTGGAAAGGCACTGAACTTTTGGTCTCTGCATTGTGAGTTTTCCATGGGCCCATTTCAGGGGATTCCATCTACACCATGTGGAGGCCAGATCCAGGATCTCTCAAGTAGCCTGCTGAGTTTTCAGCCCCTTTGCTGGAGGGAGGCCAGAATATACACTCCGAAGTAATGCTTTTATACACAAGCGTTGTAACAATTTATACTAAAGGTCAAATCAGCTGGGGATGGGGGCTTTACACGCAGCTCGGGCTACAGAGAGACCCTGTCTCAAAAAGATAAAAAAATATATAAATAACAAATAAATAAATGTCAATCAAGTTCATCTAAATTCTGTTTTGTTGTTGTTGTTGTTGTTGTAGTTGTAGTTTTATTTTGGAGATAGGGCCTCACTGTATAACCCGGGCTGCCCTCAAATTCATGATCCTGCCTCAGCCTCCTAAGTGCAGGGATTACAGGTATTGCCACCCTTCCCAGCTGCCACACAATTCTTTAAGAGTGTTTGTTCCACTTCAGATGAAAATAGTAATTTTTTTTAAAAAAACTGAATTAGTGGACTGGAGAGATGGCTCAGTGGTTAAGAGCACTGACTGCTCTTGCAGATGACCCAGGTTTGATTCCCAGCACCCACATGGTGGCTAACAACCATCTGTTACTCCAGTTCCAGGGGAATCCGACACCCTCTTCTGACCTCTGTGGGTATTATATGACACAGATGCACCTACCTACATGCCTGCGATACACACATAAAATTATAAAATATTTTTAAAAACTGAATTAGAAAATTTAAGTCATGTTAATTAGTACAGGTGATAAAGATTACCATTGAAATCTACCCGATAACTTTGTAGACATACACGGGTGCCAGGGATCCGAGTGCAATCAATTATGCTAGTAATAATCAGATACATACAGATTAGAGACACATGCGCCAACATCTCCGCATTATTAGCAAAAACAATGAGTCTTTCTGTAAGAAACAGTATATTTTAAAATGAAACGTGCAGAAGACCTGGGTTCAAATCCCAGCACCCACATGGCAGCTAATGACTATCCATAACTTCAGTCCCAGAGGATCAGACAGCCTCTTCGTCCTCTACGGGAAATGCACAACATGGGTGCACTTACCTACATGCAAGCAATACATGCATTCTAAAAAAATTAAAAAATATATATATATATAAACTGAATTAGTTTAATAGGGTCTTACACCAACATTGGTCTTTTGGGGGGCTTAAGTTAGTATTTTTCTTTTTTGAAAGTTTATTTTTATTATGTATATGAATTTTGCCTATATATATGTAAGTGGACTGTGTGTGCACACCTGAGGAGACCAGAAGAGGATGTTAGAGCCCCTAAAACTGGAGTTATGGACAGTTTTTAGCTGCCATGTGGGTGCTGAGACCCAAACCCAGATTCTCTGGACGAGCAGCCAATGCTCTTAACCACTGAGCCATCCTCTCCAGCCCAGTAACATTTTTCTGATAACTGGTTTTACTTCAAAGACTTGTTTTCTTACTATTCTATTACTTTTTGTGAAAAAAATTCAAACATATACAGAAGTACCTGCCTGCCACTTAGCATGTATCTGGCTTTATTTTTTTTATTTTTTATTTTTTTTGAGACAGGGTCTCCCTGTAGCCCCAGCTGTCCTGGAACTCACTATGTAGACCAGGCTGGCCTTGAACTCACAGAGATCCGCCTGCCTCTGCCTCCTGAGTGCTGGGATTAAAGGCGTGCGCCACCACGCCCAGCGGATCTGGTTTTATTCTTAAACCAGACTTCTAGTGTGTAGCTTCATTTTTAAAAAAATTTTCTCAGCATAATGAAGCTTATGACATCTCTAAGATTTGCATACATGGGCTGTGCCGCCTTGTAATTACTAGTGATGTAAGAAAAATTACCTCTGCCTCAGTTCAATCTGAAGCTTTTCCACACTTATAATCTTAATACCTCAATTCCAGGTGCTTTCTGAGACTTCAGTATTTGACTCAAATTGGCCAACTTCAGTGAGGTAAAAATGTAAGGTGATCGATAAAGTGATCCTGACTTTTATTATCAAAGAAAATATTTTGTTAAAATCCAGATATTGGGCTGGAGAGATGGCTCAGCGATTAAGAACACTGTTCTTGCAGAAGACCCGGGTTCAAATTCCAGCACCCACATGGCAGCTAACAACTGTAACTCCAGTTCCAGGGGATCCGACAGCCTCTTCTGTCCTCAGGCATTGCACGACACGGGTGCACTTACCTACATCCAGGCAATACACACATAAAATAAAAATAATAAATAAAAAGAAAAAATCCAGATACTGCTGGGCATGGTGGCTCACACCTTTAATCCCAGCACTCAGGAGGCAGAGGCAGGGGGATCTCTGTGAGTTCAAGGCCAGCCTGGTCTACATAGTGAGTTCCAGGACAGCTGGGGCTACAGGGAGACCCTGTCTCGAAAAGAAAAAAAAAAAAAAAAAAATCCAGATATTTAAGTATGGAGCACTTAGCAAATTATTATATGTGGACTTTTGACAGTTAAGAAAGACACCACCAAATAAATACTTGCTTTTGGAATAACTGCAGTGGTGCAATGCCACATTACAGTGATGCCTAACCAAAGACAGCCTGGCTCTTAGCATCCATTTAATCCAAGAGTGGGGCACAAATGTATGTATTCCATTTATTCATACATACATTGGGATCAAAGGCAGGAAGGGTCATGAGGGATTAAAACTGTATGTTTAGCGTACAAGAGGAGCCCAGGGCCTAGTAAACTTGTTTGCATTATGAACAAGCTGAGATAGTGTTAAATGATCTCAAAACATAAGGTTAACTTTGATTACAAGGTTAGGTAAAAGTCATTGCCACAGATAACAAATTTTTTCTCTTCAAAAGTATCTACAGTGTTTTATTTTGGAAAGCTATGCCAGAAACATTAGTAGGACCGTACCATATTTTCATCATGTGCAAATAAGTACTTTTGAATTGTAACTGAAGCAATTAGTAATCAAGGGTCTTTTGTCAGTATTCCACTATTACTATTACCAGAAAACATCATGAATTCAATTAATTCTAGCACATACTTCAAATATCTCTTTCACTATCTTCATGGATTTAAATCAGTTTTCTGCTTCATTATCCTAGGCTATAAAATTAAAATTATCTGGGTGTGGTGGTGCATGCCTCTAATCCCAGCACTCGGGAGGCAGGGGCAGGTGGATCTCTGTGAGTTCAAGGCCAGCCTGGTCTACATAGTAAGTTCCAGGATGGCTGGGGCTACAAGGGAGACCCTGTCTCAAAAAGACCAAAAAAAAAAAAAAAAACCAAAAAAAAAAAAAAACCCCAAAACATCCATTCTTATTTTAAGTATAGTTCTGAAATTGGGGGGTTTTAAATATATATTTTTTAAATTTTATGTATACACGTGTATTGCCTGCATGTGAGTGCACCCGTGTCGTGCAATGCCCACAGAGGACAGAAGAGGCTGTCAGATCCCCTGGAACTGGAGTTACAGACAGTTGTTAACTGCCCTGTGGGTGCTGGAATTGGAACCTGGGTCTTCTGCAAGAACAGTCAGTGTTCTTAATGGCTGAGCCATCTCTCCAGCCCTGAATTTTGGTTTTAAAAAGTAAGAGAACCAGGCATGGTGGTGCATGCCTGTAGTCCCAGCACTTGGGAGGCAGAGGCAGACGGATCTCTGTGAGTTCAAGGCCAGCCTGGTCTACATAGTTCTAGGACAGCTCGGGCTACGGGGAGACCCTATCTCAAAAAAGAGAGAAATACCACTGGACGTGGTGGTACATGCCTTTAGTCTGAGGCAGAGACAGGTGGATCTCTGTGAGTTCAAGGCTAGCCTCATCTACATAGTGAGTTCCAGGTCAGCTGTGGCTACAGGGAGACCCTGTCTCAAAAAGACCAAAAAAAAAAAAAAAGAGAAATATACTAAGGATACAACATTACCTCTGCCAAATGACTTGTTGAGGGCTGAAGAGATGGCTCAGTAATTAAGAGCAGTTGCTGCTCTGGCAGAGAACCCGGGTTCACTTCCCAGCACCCACCTGGCAGCTAACGACCATCTGTAACTACAGTTCCAGGGGATCCAACGTCCTCTTCTCACCTCTGTGGGCACTGCACAATGCAGGTGCACTTACATACGTTTAGGTAATACATGCATACACATAAAAAATATATTTAAAAAATTAACTAGTTGAATAGCTCATATTTTCTTCCTTGCTACTGGGTACTGTCTTTATCATCAGTTTCTCATATGTGTTTAGAATCTGCTATGGCTTCTTCACATTGGTTTCCCAAACTGGGTTGTAAATCCCACAAGTTGCCAGTTGGTCTCATCTCCACTAGTCGCTCTGTTGCTAGCTCCATCTGTGTAGCCCTGTACTGTGTGGTAGCAGGACTGGTGGAGACTATTAAGGATGTGCTGACTGAATGCCTAAAGGAAAACAGGGTTTTTACTATTGTAGTTTACCAAACTCTGATTTATTTAGCTTTGATTAGGTAAAATGTAAGAGTTTCTTGGTTTATCTGGAGCTAAACTGTCTAGGTTTGAATTCTTATTGCCTAGTTTTGACCTTTTGGACAATTTACCTGAAAAGATTTGTGCCTCATATGATTCTTTGAGTATTAAATCAGTAAATGCATGTAAAGTGTCTGGAATAAGTGTTTGGCATGTATGGAGTTAGGTGTTAGTTGTTGTTAATACTAAATCAGGTCACAGGAACTTTGACAGTATTGGAGATTTAAGTGCTGATTTCTATGTTTATCTGTTTTAAAGGGGACAATTCATCTGTTTCGAAAACCACAGAGATCCTTTTTTGGAAAGTTATTGCAGGAATTTAGACTTGTAGCAGCTGACCGGAGGGTAAGTTCTTCCTTAACCTCAGTTTCAATTACTGCAAAACAACATTTTAACATCGAAGCAAAGATAATTTTTAAGGCCAAAAAAAAAAAATTCACGCCGGGCATTGTGGCGCATGCCTTTAATCCCAGCACTTGGGAGGAAGGGGCAGGCAGATCTTTGTGAGTTCAAGGCCAGCCTGGTCTACATAGTGAGTTTCAGGACAGCTGGGACTACAGGGAGGCCCTGTCTCAAAAACACCAAAAAAAAAAAAAAAAAAGTGGAATTCTGATTGTTTTCACATTTGTTTTGCTTTGGTGAAAGGAAGCCAGATTTCAGTTGCTCCCCCACATACACTTTTTTTCTTTTTATAGCAGTTTTATTATGTAGCTCTGGCTGGCCCTGAACTCTCTATATAGATCAGGCTGGTCTCCGGCTCAGAGAAGTCTGCATGCCTTTGCTTCAGTGGTACTGACTGGGATTAAAGGTGTGGGTCACTGGGCCGTGCCTTCCCTTAGTTTTTTTTTTTTCCCTTTAGACAAGGTCTCACTTTGTAGTCCAAAATGGCCTTTAGTGTATGATCCTCCTGTCTCAGCCTCCCAAATGCTAACATGACAAGCATGAATCGCCATCAGATTTCAAAGTGTTTCAAAGAGAAATTGTTGTGTAGTTGCTTATTATTTTAATTAAATTATTGTAATCTAAAGCCATATTTTCTTGTTTTTAACATAAGCCAGAAAACTATGTCAAGCTCTGAGGCTGTAAACAGAAAGATTAATTGCTATCTTTCTGACTACCAATGCAGACCTTGTAGTTATTGTATTTGTTGTTGCTTTGTGATACAGGGGATCCAGCGCAGGGCCTCCTGTGTCCAGGCAGGTGCTCTCCACTGAGCCACTGAGCCGTGCCTTCCAGGTTCTTGTGTTGTTTTCATTCTTATTGTTTAAATTATAAGCTCTCTAAGTGTTGGAATTAAAGGCACTTGCCACCATGCCTGGCACATCATTGATTCTTATTTCCTTATTCTCTTTCTTGCATATTAATTATGGTACATGTTCTGTTCCCAGTGCCTCCTGCTTTTCTCAGATTCCTTTGTATCGAAAATACTGGGGTGGGGGGTGTTTGAAGGAATTGTCTGTCCTCTGTGTTCCCCATCTTCTTTCCCTGTCTCTGTTAAACATGTGCGCTCTGGCTCCTGTCCCCAGTAACTGACAGTTTGGCATTTGGTTTTGGTTTTTGAAGCTTAAGCATAATTTTGTTAGAGTTTAAGAGAAAAAAACCTCAGGGCAGGCAAGCCGTAAATCCCCAAAAACACCCAGAGGAGGAGAATGGAGGAGAGAAGGAAAAAAGCCATGTTGTTTCAGTGAAACCAGTATGGAGGTCAGCCACATGCTAGCAAGCAGCCAATTGGCAAGGAAAGGGGGGTTTTGTTTTAATTACATTTATCTATTTTCTGCATGTGTGTGTGTGGTTTATGTGTATGTATGTGTTTTGTGTATCTGTGTTCATGCCATAATGCATGTGTGGAAGTCAGAGGACACCTTGTGGGAGTCGGTCCTCTCCTTTCACCACCTGTATTCTGGGGATGGAACTCAGGTCCTCAGCAAATATCTCAGGTTGACAGCAAGCATCTTTACTCTCTCAGCCATCTTGCCAGCCCGATAACTGACAGTTTTAAAAGAGCACCATTAATCTGTGTTAGCAAAATCAGTACTCATCCTCATTTCTTACCTTTCTTGACCTTTTAACAATATTTGACAAGAACTGTGGTCACTTCTTCTTTAGAATACTTAATTATATAAACTCTGAAACAGAATTCTTGGCTTTATTCCTGCTGTCATTTAGTTTTCTAAGCCACTTTTCTTTTCTGACCATTAAACTCAGGATTGTGAGCTCCATCCTCTTTAAGACTGTATATTGTGGGACTGAAAGGATGGCTCAGTGGTTAAGAGCACTGGCTGTTCTTGCAGAGAATCCAGATTTGGTTCCCAGCAACACATGGCAGACCGCTCTCTATAACTCCAGTTTCAGGGGATCCAATGCCCTCTTCTGGCCTCTGTACACTGCATGTACATAGTACGCTTACATACATGCAAGGAAAACACTCACACATACAATTTTAAAAAGATTGTGCATCTTGGGGCTGGCTCTTCTTGAAGAAGACCTGGGTTCAAATCCCAGCACCCACATGGCAGCTAACAACTGTCCATAACTTCAGTTCCAGGGGATCCAACAGCCTCTTCTGTCCTCTATGGGCATTGCATGACACAGGTGCACATACATACATACAGGCAATACACGCATACACATAAAATTAAAATAATAAATGAAATTAAAAAAAAATTTTTTTTATTTAATAACAGCCTGATTAGAAAAAGCATTTCATTATAGCGTTAACATGTTCAGTAACACATTCCAGTGCAAGGATACATCTCTTTCAAAGGTGGCTGTAAATTTTTAGGTTCACAGTTGAATTAATACAGTCATACAATATTGAACTCAGTA